TTTATTTATTTAAGTCTAAATATTTTATATTCATAAGATATATTTATCATCTAAATATGTAGATATATGTTTTTAAGTAATTTAGAAAAAGTGACCGAATCTTTACGATTCACGATTCGATTCGATTCGCGATTCGGTACAAGACCATTTCGATTCGCGATACGAATCCCGATTTGACAACTTAGCATAAAATACCTCCAAACCTTCCCACTTATGGTACAAAAGCCCACTTTTTATGCCTAAATCCCCAAACACTAATAAAATTCCTATCACAAGCTTTCACTTTAGTTTTCTGAAAAATGACAATATCAGGTTGATGTTTCCTCAAAAATTCCCTAATGACCCCCCTCTTCTTCCCAGAGCCCAAACCCCTCACATTCCAACTAACAATCTTCATTGAGAAACATTGTTACCCCTAACCTCTTCATCTCTCCTATCATAATTAATTGTGCTCACCAAATTCCTTAACTCCCTAGGCCACCCTTCTAACCGAAGCCCCTCCCCTTCTAGCACACTCCCTCCTAGTGACACTATTTTCCTTTCCACTAACACCATCCTTCCCATTGGTAGCCTTTCGAACACCATACTTCTTCTCTGGTTCTTTGTAATACCCAGGGATAACCTTACTAGCAAAAGCCTTATAACTTGAAGCAAATGCTTGAAATGAGGTACTTCATTTTCCTCAATAGGACAAGACGCATACTTGTTTTACTCCATCAACCAACGCTCTGTTTCTACCTCACTATCCCTCACCCCACTAAAAACACAGCTTCTCTTGGTCATATGATTAAGAGAATCTCCTTCTTAAGCATCATTTACTTGGCCTACAGTAATTTTAGCATTATAGGACACAGGATTAATGGGAGAGCCCGCCATCATGGCTCTGGAGATATCCAGCATGACTCCTTAATCATCCTTTCCCCTAATAGAACAATCAAGACCAAGACACTGAAAACCCCCTACCCCGTCCCTAAGAGAAGAAAAGACTTGACTAGCAATGTTAACCCTCTCAGATGTTGGAGCTGTGGTATCTTGAATAACAGTGCCACTGACATGATCCATTGTTTCAGAGACACCCTCAGCCTCCTCCTCCTCCTTAGCAGTGCCCTGTTCCTTAAAGAGATTAAACAGCTGAAAATCATACTCTTCTTGATCACCTCCCTCGCCTCCTGAACTAGAGTCGAACTCAGAGCTCACCTCAGACCCATAAATTTCTAGAGCTTACAACACTTCGTTAGGCTCGAAACACCCTTCATCTACCTTGCGACTCAACAAATCAGCATCGTTCACATCCTCTATCCTATCATCGATCCACTCCATATTCCTCTTTGTTCTTTTCAAATCCTCGACAGATCCATTCACCAAGTCAGCTAATCCTAGCTAAATCTCGTCCCTTGTTAGTCGAAACTGATTATTCCTCTGAGAATTCATCTAGCAATCAACATCCACATCTTCTCGCACCCTAGAAGACTGCTGACTCTGAACCTCCTCCTCTCCAATGGATCACCTTCCATCTTCAAGCAATTCGGGTCTATCTGTATCTCAGATCTCTTCCAAACTATGAAACCCATTCAATTTACCCACGGGAGCCAATTCATCTGAATAGACCTCATCCACTCTTTGAGGCCCAATAGTATAATCCATTTGTTGCTTATAGCCTGGCCCATCTCTTGGAAAAGACGAACTGGGGCACTGCTTAATAAACCTCTGGCCCTTATCATATAAATCAGTTGGGCCCAAAATAACACTTGGCCCACTATGCCCCATTAGCCCATTTGAGGCCTCCCTAAGCCCCTTATCCCTTGATCTTCCCTTCATCTCAACAACAGCATGGGACCTGACCCCTGCCCTTTCAGCTTCTGCACCCTTTCGGCTTTCCCCTTCCATGCCGCCACGTGACCCTCCTGGCCATCCCTCGCGAAAGATTCACCTAAAGACTCTTGCCGAAAAATCTTTGGCCAAACTTCCACTTCCCGTCGCACTGGCTTGGACAATGGCTTTAGGCGCACCATGGAAGATCAACCTCCCTCCTTGACCTCCATAAAAGCTGGCAGAAAACCACAATCAAAGCCTCTGACTTTCAATCTTACCTCAAAGAGATTGTCCAAAGAGATAGTTTTTCTATCAACTTCCAACAAACCACATCTCTGTCCTATGCACTAGAATACCTGCTCATTCCAAAGGATAAATGGCAAGTCGCACACTGCAATCCACCCTCCATAAGAGACAATAACCTCTTGTTTAACGTGCTTCTCCTCAGACCACTTCTCCAAGCTGATCGCCACACCTTTGTCGAGGAATCTCAATCCCTTGTTTCCAATAAAATTCGCTTCCTCTCTGTTACTAACCCAAAACAAAGCTCGATTGATTTGAAATGGTCGAGGAGCAATAGACATCTTTAAATATTTGCTCAACTCCTTTTCAATTTGAGCCCAGCTGCTTGAAAAATCACATCTTACACAGACTACAGCCTGTTTCATATCGACCCTCAATTACCCATTTGATACTCATTGAACAAGTCGACAAGCTTCCTTCCTCTGTTCACCCCTGTTTTCCCTTACATAGCCATCTCCTTTGTCCCCTTGCTCTGAACTCCTTTTGTAACTCTAACACTGGCTTCCATACCCATAGTGTTTCTCTTGGGTTCATTGCAAATGACTTTACGAAGCATGGTAGCTGTATCTATCCACCCACTACCATTATTCCCCGCAGGAATAATAATGTTGGCTCTCTTGACACCTCCCTCCCATTTCAACAAGTCAACAAAAACAGCCCTACCATTGGTATACTTCTGTAAACAAAACACAGCGGAGCTGCTATGGTACTTACTAAAGAAAGAGCCTCCTTTGTAAAGCTTCCCCACCTGCTAAAGAGCTTGCACTGCCCAACTTGCACCTCCCAAATCTATCTTCGGTGAGAAGCTTTGTAGTCGATTCCTCTCTATAATCTCCACTAGACTCCCTCTAGATCTCTCGTCAACCTGGATAATGATTATCTTCTGTTTGATCCTCAATTCTGAGGATAGCTCCCTATACTCTCTCACGTCACTTCTTTTTTCCCTTTGTCCTCAACCTCCACACACAATTAATTTCTAAACCTATATATTTACCATGACACGACACGATATGACACGATTGACCCAACAAAAAACCTATTTGAGTGAGAGAAGCAAACACGAAAAATCTTGTTTGGAAGAAAAGAAAAGGAAAAATTTTGTTTGGAAGAAAAGAAAAGGAAAAAAGATAAAGAGAACAAAAATGGTCGCATTATATATCAATTAATTAATATAAATATCTATCTATATATACCTATATTAATATATATATATATATATATAAAGTTACACACATCATCGATAGGTCATTTTCAGGTTGTGTTCGTGTTAACGGGTTGCACACTAAAATAAACGGGTTGAACGTGTCATTTTCGGATTTCGCAGATTCAACCTGAACATGACATGTTTGTTATACTAGTTCATAGGTCGTGTCATATACGTGTTCGTGTCAGAAAATACTCAACCCTAACTCGCTAACTTCGTGTACAGTTCGTGTCGTATTATCGTGCTGTGTCAGGAATTCCCACTCCTAATTTTGAGGACCATTTTTTTCAAAAAAAATAAATAATAATTTTATATTTTTTTTACTAAAATAAAAAATCTAAGGATAATAAATTTAATAAAATTAAATATTTGGCATAAAATAAATATTAAATATTTAAAAATATATAAAATATATAAAATTATATGTTTCGCACATGTCCCCAAACGTGTCGTGTTTTGTATTTTTTGAAAATTTATATATCTGCATATCTGTATCCGTGTTTGTACTTTTTAAAAAAAGACAAAAAAGATAAGAATTAACTTAAGAGTGAGGTTTTTCTAAATTGAATTTTTGTTAGTTTTCTTAATTTTTTTTTTTTTTAGATGTAATATTAATCCATATAACAAATAAAGATATATTTAAAATGGTGTCCCCACCGTGTCCATGTTCTCATTTTTTTTGAAATCACCATGTTCGTGTCTATGTCCAAGTTCTTTCATTTTAGTACAGAAGGGAGGGAGAGAGAGAGAGAGAGAGTAGTGGATATGAAGGGATTTTGGGTGAGGGAGTTCAAAGGTAGAGAAATGGGGAGGGGAGATGGGTTCGAGTGGGGTGCGGGTTTTGGGCGGCAGTGCAGAGGGAGGAGGAGGTTTTGAGAAAGGCAATTCAGAGGAAGAGGAGACCACCGCAGAGGGTTCAGGTGGGAGCAAAAGGGATAAGGTTTCACAGAAGGAGAGAAGGGATATCAGGGAGAGAAAATTGAAATGACTAGCTAATAGAGATTATACTTTGATTAGCTACAGTTTGGACTTTTGAAATTCGAAATATCAACAGTAAAGCATTCAGCTTACAACTTCATCGGCCCCATTTGGCAAAACTTATTTGCATATTATTTACCTCAAATTTTGAAATTTATGCTTAAGCGGTTATATCTTGAACGCTAGTGTTTGGTAAAAAAACAAATTAGGGTTTCAGCTCATTTGTTTTTTCAAATCAAACTAAGTTTAAAAAGCTAACTTTTTAAAATGTTTTCTAAGCTGCAAAAAAGTTTTGTCAAACAGACTGGTAATCTTGTGATACTCCTTTTCCATTTTCTTTACAAAAGAACTGATGATTAGGCCCCGTTTTTCTGAATCTCCCCGACACCGAATGAGATGAGAAAGAAATTATATACAAAAATCAAGTAAAATAGCTTCTTAATTGATTCTTCTTTTTTCCCTTCACTTCCTTGACAACCAAGAAGCAGCACGTTGCTAAACAAATAGATAGTTCATGAAAATCCCTACAACCCCAAATTGATGGGGAAAAAAACAAAACAAAACAAAATTTTCAACCAAAAATACAGTACACACAAAATACAAGGGTAGAGACACAGAATTTGATGCAATAAACATAAATTTAAAAAATAAAAAATAAAATAAATAAATAAATAAACTCTTGATGTAGACAGAATCGAAATACCTCTGTTCGGTATTGTCAAAGCCAGAACTGGAATCAGAGAAGTCGACAGGAACAACGGTGTGGTCGGAGCTGTAGAGGTCCTTGCTAGTAACATCTAGGGTTTGGTCGTTGATGCATTTGGCCCTCAAATGGAACTCGACGGAGCAGAACTCGCACTGTCCATCGCCATCGCAGGCGTCGCAGTCTCTGGAGAAGCGCATGCTCATGGCTCGGTCGCTGGTGAGGGGGATGAGCCCTAGGCGGTGAGCGATGAACTCGTCGTTGAGTACGGACGAGTTGACCTCAATTTCTACAAGGTCGATTGCGATGGTTGGGACTTCGGCGATCATGACTCGGCGGAGAGCGTTGGCCATGCTCGCGTCGGTGTCTCGGAGCTCGAACTTGCAGTAATCGTCCTTCAGCTCTCGAATCTTCACCTTCGGAAATCGCTGGTACGAAGCTCCCTCCATCTTCTCTCTCTCTCTCTCTCTCTCTCTCTTACCGTGACTCTGTGAGTGTGGTCTCTTCTCGAGTCTAAAACCCTTCGTTTGGGGAATTAGGGCTTTGGTCTATTCTCCGGACTTTGAGACGCGCTCGAATTTCTTTACAATTTTCCCTAGGGGTGAGCATGGTCCGGATTGGACCGGATTGGAATAAAATCAAGACCAATTCGTTATTTACGGTTCCTAAAAAATTGGAACCAATCCAATCCGTTTAAATCATGGAACCAATCTGAACCAATCCATTTAAATACGGATTGGATCGGTTTAGGACCACGGATTCACATAATTAAATAACAAAAATATATATATAACACTTGAATTTCATAAAAATATAAACATAGCGCTAGCGCTATATTAGTTACATAATAGCAACATGTTTTTCTATAATAACGACATAAGTATTTAGACCATTGCAAATTAAAACTTAAAACTAACAAGCAAAAGTAATAAAAGAAGATATTATACGATTTTAGGTTTGAGTTTAGATTTTACATAGAATAAGAAAAGATACTATGGGGGAGGATGTATAATAAAAATATAAACTATTTGTATACGGTCCGGATCGGTTCCAATCCGGAACCGTGGGATTCAATCCGGAACCAATCCGTGAACTACGGATTTTTAATTATTCAATCCGGAACCGAACCACGGATTCAAAAAACCAATCCAAACCTATCGGATTGGACTGGACTGGATCGGATTACGGATTTCACGGATTCCTTGCTCAGCCCTAATTTTCCCTTGTCAATTTGTAAACTTTATGCATTTTACGGTTGTACATTGCAAATACTTGTACCAAATTATCGGTAAATTACATTTTAACCCTTTACACTTAAGATAAATTAAAGATGGTTTTTAAAACTATATTTTAGTTGATTTTTGAACTTTTCAAGAAAATATATATACAAAAATAAAGAGAATAGTTAAATTTTTTATATTAATATTTTTTTGGCTATTTTAAATTATTGCCAAACTTACCTTAAAAAAATATTAAAATCATAAACCCAAGGGATAATTACATTTTACCTCCTCTGATTTTACACGTTTTCAAATTTATTTTTTGGCATTGATAAATGTACTTATAAACCCCTTGTAGTTTTGATTGAAGTGCAAAAGTGACGGAATCTAATAAACTTAAGAGTGCGTGGGGCAGACGCACCAGAGAAATGTGTCTGCACTGAAATTAAGGATTTTGGCAATAAATTTGAAGTTTTGAGTGAACAATTTACCATTCTACTTTCTTATATATATATATATATATATATGGGTTTGAATGCATTTCATGGGTTGGATGCATTTCATATATATATATATATATACACGGAGAGAGAGAAGGGGGGAGTTTGTGGGTTAAATATATATATATATATACACATAAGTAGATTTCAATTATGAGAAAAATTGAAGTAAAATGGCATTCATAAGAAAATTGAAAAAATAAATAAAGGTATTCTAGTCTTTTCAATATTTTTGTCGTGTCCAGTCACTTTTATACTTTAGTCAAAATCACAAAGGATTTATGAGTTATTTATCAACATTAGAGAGATAATATGAAAACGCGTAAAACCACAAGGGGTAAAATGTAATTATCCCTAAACCTAACAATGATGGGTAAAAAAAAGAGTTGTGCTATTAGCACCCCATAAATTATTTTGGACCCCCACTTATAAATTATGAAACTCTTAAAATTTATTTTCTCCCTTCAAATAATACCAAAATTATCTTTATGAAAACATTTCACCCATTAAATACACACCCTCTACATTCTTACACCCCAAAAAAATTCCACTTCCAAAAAAACTCTAACAAAGCCCACGAAGAAGAAGAAGAAGAGGTAATGTGATTATTGTCTCTGCTACCTCATCCACCATTGTCTGAGTTGGTATGCTCTCTCTTTCTCTTTCTCTCTCTCTCACTATATATATACACATAATTTCTTAGTTTTCTCATAATAATTTTTTTCTCATAATAATTTATTCTCTTGCAGGAAAAAATTATAATAATTGGTTTAGTTTTCTCAGTAAAACAAGTCCAAACATATAAATAATGTTTGGTTACCTGTTTTTGTTGTTCAAAATTGTGAAATTAAATAAATAGATTTATGAAGAAAACAAATTATATACCAAGAACATATGCTGATAATTATAATTAAATTTCAACAGAAATACACAAAACAATAAAAGGGTAAAGAGACGAAACCGAAGTCTGCACGGAAGCAGTTTTCTTAAAACAGATTTCGCCGCCTCACGGGTCGAGTGCTTGAGGAAACCCTACGACGGTCAAAACCAGCTATGGCAGAAGCACTTTCTGTCTAGCTTAGCGAACAAGAACAGTGGCAGTATTCTCTCAATGTAGGAACTTTCTGGCAAACTGACTTGTAAAATGGAAGCAAAAAATTTCTATATTGAAACTTGACAGGAGGGTATCAATTTATACATGTATAGGGGAGACAGGAAAAGCCTCCAGCCTTTAAGGCTAGTCATTAAAACACCAAGCATCCATAGCCCCTTTCCACAAAAAGAAAAGTATGGATGTCCAAAGGATTCACACCCTTTAGCCAAGAAAAAAGATTTAAATACTCTTTAAAATCCTATTCATGAATCTAACATCATAAAGCAATTTCTTGGCAATTTCTTATTCAAAACCCAATGATTTTTGGCTCACTTGGACCCAACACAAAAAATGGTTAGGACCCACTTTAATATTTAATTAAAGTCACCACACTTTAATATTAAATTAAAGTCCCCAAAAATCATTTTTTCCAACAATCCCCCACATGAATAAAAATTGACCGAATGACTCAACAAACGGACATCGTTCAACATTAAAGACTCTGAGAGAGAGTACAACGGACTAACCCCCGCATCAGAGAAGGTAGCAGATCAGTGAATAAGACATCTTGAACTGTTCTACCGTTTATGTAAACTAAGACAATAGATCTCACACGGGAATTACTCCTACCACCATTATGTTCTCACTAGTGTGCCCTGTGTGGCCCTGGACACAAGCCTGGTTCAGCGAGTGGTTTCAAAGAATCTTGGCCTGCCCAATTCTTCTAGAAGCGGCCCCACTTCAAACTCACATAGGTGACTCTACTAAAGTATCCTGCAATACTTAGCTCAACAACTTAACACATAAGAGTCATTAAAAGCTCAGCTTAACCTCTACACTTGCAGGCATCACTGATAGAAGGAATGGCTGGAGGCTTAACCTCCTCAGTGACATACCACCGTTACACGCAATTAGGTTGTCCCATTGAACCTAGATCTTGGGATCTCCAGTCAACTAGGTTGGGTTTCTATTCCGGTAATTTCCAAAGGCCTTAACCCCATTCCTTCTGACAACATTTCGACTAACACTCGACTTAACCCTTTGGTTAGCGGATCCGCAATGTTGTCCTTAGACTTTACATAGTCTAAAGAGACAACTCCATTCGAGAGTAGTTGTCATATGGAATTATGTCTACGACGGATATGTCTAGACTTTCCATTATACATATTACTCTGTGCCCTACCAATTGCATATTGACAATCACAATGAATACAAATAGCTGGCACAGGTTTAGACCAACGTGGAATAGCTTCAATGAAATGGCGAAGCCATTCTGCTTCTTCCGTTGCTTTATCCAAAGCAATAAACTCTGATTCCATCGTTGATCTAGATATATACGTTTGCTTGGAAGATTTACAAGACACGGCTGCCCCCACCAAGAGTGAACACAAATCCACTAGTGGACTTTAAGTCCTTTATATCTGATATCCAATTCGTGTCACTATAACCTTCAAGCACCGCTGGATATCGAGTATAATGCAGCCCATAATCCCGAGTGTAGCGTAAATACCTTAACACCTGCACAATACCCTTCCAATGAGAAGCATCAGGATTACTTGTGTTTCTACTAAGCCTGCTAACCGAGTAAGCTATATCTGGCCTAGTACAACTCATCAGATACATTAAACTTCCAATTACCCGAGAATATTCTAACTGAGAGACACTCTCTTTATTATTCTTGGTAAAGTGTAGACTTAAGTCTACAGGTGTCGATGACACACTCGTATCTGATCCACTAAACTTCTCAAGTATCTTATCAACATAATGAGACTGAGAAAGTACAAATCCGCCAGAGATTCTGGTAATCTTAATTCCCAGAATAACATTTGCAATGCCCATATCCTTCATGTCAAATTTAGAGTTTAACAACTTCTTGGTAGTTTTGATCATTTCATCGTTACTACCTATAATGAGCATATCATCAACATATAGACACAAAATGACATAACCTCTGTCAGTGTCTTTGACATAAATACACTTGTCACATTCGTTGATTCGAAACCCATTTGACAACATTACATTGTCAAACTTCTCATGCCATTGTTTAGGCGCTTGCTTCAAACCATACAAAGATTTGACAAGTTTACAGACTTTCTTGCTTTGTCCTGGAGCTGAAAACCCTTCAGGTTGCTCCATGTAGATTTCTTCATTCAAATCCCCATTTAAAAAAGCTGTCTTTACATCCATCTGGTGTATCTCAAGATTGCGCAAAGCTGCTATCGCAATCACTATGCGAATGGATGTTATCCTAGTTACAGGTGAGTACGTATCAAAGTAATCTAGGCCTTCTCGTTGCCTGTACCCTTTGATAACGAGCCTCGCCTTATACTTGTCAATAGACCCATCGGCCTTCATCTTTCGTTTAAAAATCCATTTGCAGCCTAAAGGCTTACAACCTGGAGGTAAATCTACCAACTCCCAGGTGTGGTTCTGTAAGATGGAGTCAATCTCACTTTTGATCGATTCTTTCCATAAAGGACTCTCAGGAGAAGTCACAGCTTCGTGAAAAGTTTGAGGTTCGTTCTCAACCATATAAGTCAAGAAGTCTGGACCAAAAGATTTGGATGTCATAGCCCTTTTACTCCGTCTGGGCTCATCTAAAACCTCAATTTGATCATCACCCGGATCATCAACATGATCATCCTCACTAGCAAGCTCATTAAATTGCTCCAAAGACCTTGGAACCCCTGCATGGGTTCAGCAAGAAAAAATGACTTCAAAGAAACATGCATTCCTTGACTCCATGA